TTCGTCAAGATGGTAATAGCTCAACTCAGGTCCTGTATCAGGTGGTGGCAAGCTTGTAATTACCTGCAGATAGGCCAATGAGGCTACAAGTGACGTAGAAAAATATAAAACATCTTCAAAATTAAATCCAGCCACAATAACTATGTGCAACATTCAAGTGTAAATCCACTAGCAATTATCACGCAACCCAGTCGCTTCTTTGATCACCGATCACAGGATTCTATCAGTCTCCATTTCCTTCTATCAGCTCATTTCAGTCCCAGAGGGAAAAAGAAGTGTACCATAAATGGACTTCGGTGAGCTAAATGACGAAGCCAATGCTTTGATAGCCAGTGCTTCATCATCAAATTCGGCGATAGCCATTTGCTAAAGCCTTGAACTGCTACATATACACGAAATATATGTTGTTGGAAGGGAACCAAAGGTCAAATACACCAACTTGAGGAATTAGATCTTGGAACAGCGGGCCTTTCCAACAATCAAAGCCCCACTTCAGTCAAATAACCAACAAAACCCAATTCAGCCCTCCAACAAATGGACCCAGTAAAGTCCACACAGACTGAGTTAGATCAAGTGGGTTTCAGAACCAAATTTGAACACTGTAACTGTAGATCTGAAATCGAATCAGATCAAAAATACCATATATCAATCAAAATGACTAATTCAATTAAAATTAAGAGATCTGAAAATGACCGGTGAGTTTGTCACTGTTGTTACGGTACCAGCAGCACTGATAACAAGAATGCAAATTGGGACTTTTGCCATTGCATGAATGTAAACAGAAGTTTCAATCAAGGAGAAAACATAAAGAAGGGGTGAGATATTTATGGGTGTTAAGTTTAGAGAATTAACACAATATTAGAGAGCAACAGATATAGGTTAAAAAAACATAACCTAGCTCTCATACATCACTTGTATTTATAATTAACTCATAATAATAAGAATTACACATAATACCCTAACACTATTAGCAATTTACACATACTACCCTAACACTCTTAACACTCCCACTCAAGCTGGACTATATATATCATATAATCCAGGCTTGAAATAAATAGTTGTAAGACGTGTACGACTCAATACTTTGGTAAACATATCTACAAACTGATCTTCAGATTTCACAAATAGAGTCGTAATCTCTCCAGCTACTATCTTGTCCCGAATAAAGTGACAATCAACTTCAATATGCTTGATTCTCTCGTGAAATACAGAATTGGCAACGATATGGATAGATGTCTGATTGTCACAAAATAACTGTAAAGAAAGTTGAACTGAAAACCCAATTTCCTGGAGGAAGTGTAGTAGCCAAGTCAACTCACTCGTCGTATGTGTCATTGCCCTATACTCAACCTCAGCACTGGATCTTGCTACCACGGGTTGTTTCTTACTTTTCCATGAGACAACATTACCTCTTAAGAAAGTACAATAACCAATGGTTGATCTCCGATCAGAAGGAGAGTCAGCCCAATCAGCATCTGAGAAACCTTCCACTCTAAGATGCCCATTAGCTCGATATAACAGTCCAAGTCCAGGAACTCGTTTGAGATATCGCAGAATACGAGCAACTGCCTCCCAATGTGGTACTCTAGGACACCCCATGAACTGGCTTACTATACTGACTGCATAAGAAATATTTGGTCGAGTAATAGTAAGATAATTAAGCTTTCTAACCAATCTGCGATACCGACCCGGATTCTCAAACAATGCACCATCATCCATCAATAATTTCTAATTCGGATGCATAGGAACATCAATCGGTCTACTACCTAGTAAACCTGCTTCCTCAAACATGTCAAGTACATATTTCCTCTGGGATATACAAATATCCTATTTAGATCGAGTCACCTCAATACCCAAGAAATACCTGAGTTTTTTCAAATTCTTAGTATGAAATCGATCCTGTAAGAATATTTTTAACTTGACAATCCCCTCAGAATCATTCTCAATAATCACAATATCATCTACATAGACCACCAATAGGACATATCTAGTATCTATCTGTCTATGAAACACAAAATGATCTGTCTGACATCGAAGAAGACCAAACTCTAAAACTGCATCTGAAAACTTACCAAACCATGCCCTAGGTAACTCCTTCAAACCATACAAAGATTTCTTTAACCAACATACACTCTTACTATACCCCCCCTGAGCAGTAAACCCAGGTGGCTGCTCCGTGTATACCTCTTCAACCAAGTCACCATGTAGGAAGACATTCTTGATGTCTAACTAAAATAAGAGTCAATCAAGATTAGCAGCCAAAGAGATCAAGATACGAACAGAGAAAATTTTAGCAACAGGAGAAAAAATCTCCTCATAATCAACACCATAAGTCTGAGTAAAGCCCTTTACAACAAATCGGGCTTTGAGACGCTCCACAGAACCATCTAAATGAAATTTAACAGTATACACCCAACGACAGCCAACAGTTCATTTACCAGGGGGTAAAGGAACGAGATCCTAAGTCCCATTATGATGTAAAATATACATCTCCTCCAACCCGGATACGATAAGGCATCCTGTAAATGCTTAGGAATAGATATAGCAGATAATTGAGAAGTAAAACAAGAGAAAACAGGAGACAAGGCATCATATGAAACAAAATGAGAAATGAGATGATTAGTAATACACGAACGAGTACCTTTGCGAAGAGTAATAGGTAAAGAGTATAAATTACCTGATGTACCAAGATCAGAAAGCGGCAAGGAAGACGGTACGGGCACCTCAGTCGATAGGCTAGAACGGTGAGAATAAACACATAGAGGTAAAGTAGATGGTAACACAGTGGGTAGCGGAAGGACTGTAACAACGACACCCCTTCTGCGTGCGGGAGTAACCAAGAAATACACATTTGGTAGCTCGAGGGACAAGTTTGTCAAACCCAGAACCCAAATTGTGAACATAACAGACACATCTAAAAATCCTAGGAGTTAGGAAAAATAAAGGCTTACCAGGAAAAAGGATAGAATATGGATTTTGCCCATTTAACACAGAGGATGGCATACGATTAATAAGATGACAAGCAGTAAGAACAACATCACTCCAAAAATATCAGAGAATATTCATCTGGAATAACAGGGCACGGGTGACTTCCAACAAATGACGGTTCTTGCGTTCAACAACATTATTCTGTGGAGAGGTATAAACAAAAGAAGTCTGATGAATAATGTCATTTTTACTAAGATAAGCTGAAAAATGATCATATTCAGATTCTCAAGCATTATAGAACGTAAAATACGGATACGACACCCATATTGAGTTTTTATTTCCTTATGAAATGTCTCAAATATAGAGAATAATTCAGACCGAGCTTTCATTAGAAACAACCAAGTCACACGAGAATAGTCATCCACAAATGACACAAAATAAGGATATTTATTAGATGAAATATTCTTTATTGGACCCTATATATCAGAATGTACCAACTCAAATGGACTAGGCATACGATTATTGACTCGAGACTGAAATGACACAATAAGAAGGATAAAAGATTACAGAACAATTGAGAGAACGAGTAATCTTGCAAATGAAAAGTAAATTAAAAGGAAACTGAGGAACAAATAATACGGAAGATAGGGACATATCAGGACTCAAGTTAGTAGTCCCCAAACCTGAAAATTTAGAACAAGTGTCATTAGCAAGAGTAACACTACGAGTGGAGATAGCAGACTGATAAGTAGAAAAAACATCAGACGCACCAGTCATGTGATGATCAGAAGCGCCAGAGTCTATGATCCAGGGACTGCAATTGGAGGATAATAAACAAGAGCAATACCTGATTGGGCAAAAGTAGCAGTGGAGAGAGATGGAACAGACTGTTGCTGAGATAGGAACTGGGCATACTCCTCTCGAGTAATAGTAACCAATCCAGTGTCTTGCTTGGATTCCATAACAATGCAGCAAATAACAAAGAGTGCTGCAATACTGAACCAGAAGAAAAGACAGAGGCTGAAGGCCTAAACCGAATAGAATCAAACCTGATGAGGTTGTTTGAAGATTGAACCGGACCACAGGAGCACTGAACCAGACCAGTGGAGTCTGCTGGAAGGCTGACCCGGAAGAAAGGAAGTAGCTGGAGCACTAAACCAGGCTGAAAATTGGATTAGACCATTGAACCAGACCAGCAAAGCTCTCTGGACCGCTGAACCAGGCCAGTTTGGCTTGCTGGAGCACTGAACCAGGCCGGTTTTGCTTAATGGAGCACTGAACCGGGCCGATTTTGCTTGCTGGAGCGCTGAACCGAGCCAATTTTGCTTAATGGAGCACTGAACCAGGCCGGTTTTGCTTTGCTGGAGCACTGAACCGAGCCGGTTTTGATTAATGGAGCACTGAACCGGGCCGGTTTTGCTTGCTGGAGCGCTGAACCGGGCTGATTTTGCTTGATGGAGCACTTAACCAGGCCGGTTTTACTTGATGGAGCACTGAACTGGTTTGAAATTAGTCTGAACCGAACCAAACAATGGATTGGGTCAGATTTGGGTTGACCCAAAGTGGATCGGGTCAGGCTATGTCTTCTTCGATGGTTAGGGTTTCAGAAAACCCACTTCCTACAACTACGCCACGCCACACCACGAACCAAATACGAACCACCACGACAACCACCACAGACAACCACGAATCGAACACGAACCACCACAACAACCACCACAGACCACGCCTCCAACAACAACGAACCACCACAACAGCCACCACAGACCACGCCGACGATGGACCACCACAAAACCACAGTCACACCGCCACGACCACAGCCGCCATACAACGGCAAACAATACAGTAGCACCACCACGATGAACAGTACAACACCACCACAACAGTAGCACTTCTACGAACAAAATTTATTCAGAATATATATTTATGATCGTACATAGCTCAGATACCATGTTAAGTGTAAAGAATTAACACAATATTAGAGAGCAACAGAGATAGGTTAAAAAAACATAACCTAGCTCTCATACATCACTTGTATTTATAGTTAACTCACAATAATAAGAATTACACATAATACCCTAACACTGTTAATAACTTACACATACTACCCTAATACTCTTAACAATGGGTAAGATAGAGATTCCTCCAAGGAACTATCCCTCTGTACAGTAATAATAAAATATCATTCTTCCTCACTAAAGTTGTCTTAGATGTCCAGTTGATTACTTTGGATATTGGGTATGTAAGGATGCTGAAGTGTTCCCAGGTAATTGAAGCACATATTTCTTCTGTAGGTGTTTATTGCGCCATGACTGTTATGGTTAAGACGTCAAGAGTCGGTCGGCAACTAACCATGCCGTTGTAGGCAAACCATGCGGTGTTAGTTAGTTACAGTTAAATTAAATCCTTTTTCACGAAAAGGAACAATTTTAATAATTACTAGTTTGGAATCTTGGGTTGGGTTGTGTTGGTTAGTGCCATTCTTAATCTGTACAAATTCATATGCGGGGGTGCGGGGGTGGCTTGTTTCTTAACCACTCGGGTAAACACATCTTGCTTAATGCCTTATATGCTTTGTCTAGCCATGAATCCACATTTTTTGATTTGGCGTGGCAAACAAATATAATTTTTTCGACAAAAAACTTAAGTTGTAACCTAATTGCTTATTCTGTTTTTAAAAGAAATTATTCTTTTCCATGCATTTGCATCGATTCACCGCTGATTCTCTAGAAATTGCAATCCACATTTCACAGTCGCAAAACCACCATGGTCCATAAAGATATAGCCAATACAGGATGTCCTCACAGGCACAACCCAGGAAACTGGTAAGCATGTACACAGACTAAATTCAGCGACGCAATAGAAAGTTTTACCTTAAAGCTATAACCTTGATCAATTAAAAACTGTTGCCTTTTAGTTGAGTAGTACATTTCCTGCCACCAACATGAGCAATTTAGCAAATAATATTGTACACAAGTGACGACCTACATAAGTATTGATTTCTGGCATTAACTCGAGATATTAAGATGTTTGCGAATTTTAAATAAAGTTGGCAAGCAAAAGAAAGGCATACCTGAGTATCTGTAGACACAAGGGAGTAGAAAAATGCATTGAACTCCTCTTTACCACCAGCCATCCTATCCTGAGGTCGACCCTGTCAAACAAATAACAAAATCAACAAAAACAACAATTGTTACGTAATGAGCAAAAAAATTCACCCGATGGCATTCTATCATAGTTAAAGGTAGATGATCCATACAGGAAAGAAATATAATCAATCATGCTAATCTCCAAATTGCTGCCACATTTTTGGAGACTAATCAAAAGCTGCCCTTAAATTTTGACAACTACTAGTAGCTTCCAAATTTAAGACATACATAGTTTCAAGGACTAAATAGACATCATTTCCATAATAGGTATATACTGCAGAAATAAGATAGCAAGTACATAATATGCAAAGGTTCATCAAATCTGATATACTTATCATGTCCAGAAGATTAAAAACAATAGACTGAATTATTTACAATCTCTTAACGCGATACTTACAGAGTTTGTAGGTGCCATATAAGCTCCGTAAGAGTTTGTAGGTGCCATATGGCCTAGTTTAATTTATTAATTTTTTAAATGAAAGAATATTATCATTAGACTTGTACATTAGTAGACTGAAGTCAGCATGACTGCTGAGTAACAACCTTCGAAGCATGTTTCTGAGAGATTATAAACTTTTTGGAAAACTAGAGTCAACGCAAAAAGTAAAAAGAATAGCCTAGTGCATGAGGTCCTATTACTGTAGACTTTAAGGAGGGTTAGATGTACGTTGTTTTATCCCCAAATGCAAAAAGACAGTTTCTATGACTCGAACCGCTGCACCAAGGCCCACCCTCAACCAACGCAAAAAAGTCTTCATCAAGATATCAATAACATTTCTATTTATCTTGCTAATGCCATGACTCTAGTGGATTACCTAACAAAATGCATGGGCTTGATTATAGGTTAGTCAGGGCCTTCCTATATACTAGAAAAAACACATACTTCTACCCAGCTTTTGGAATCAGGATATAGCTCTGAGAGTTGCAGGAAAGACAATATTTTGCTACTTGTGAGAATAGCATCTTTCAGACAATAACTTTTCATATCACATTTGAGAAAACCCATTGGGAATTAAATAGATAAGCATGGTAGTGGAAATTTCCATGTTTCTCAAAATCTTACAACGAGAAATTCACCCTAAGCATAATCCACTGTTAATGATATGCTCTCATATTACAAACAAGACGAAAAAAAAAAAAATAGAAACTGTCTCATTATGAATGACTACTCACATCCGCAGACAAGTGGCAGAGAAAGAATGGACAATTATAGATCTACTACTGGAAAGAAAAAAGGATCACAACCTTTGCCCTGAGAATACGTCCAAGTCGTTGGGCTTCTTGACGCCTTGATCCCGCATGTGATGAAATTTGAATTATCACATTTGCCTCAGGAATATCAATGGAATTATCACCCACCTGCGAATAACAGAAGCAACAATATCACCACCCTGGAAGAAGAGTCCTGACTTTTAGAAAATATACTCAAAAAAATAAGATCAACAGAGTGGAAACATAAGATGCTGAAACAATAAATGGTAACAATCAAGATTCAGTTCTCTATGTTGCCTGAGAAGTGATTTAAACACAAACAAACAAAAAGTTTCCAGGAGAAACTTTGTTAAAAAAAGCATGTACATCATGCTAACCCTAAAAAGTGACCATAATACAATATATTTGCTAACTAAAACAAGGGATCTTGCCGATCCAATATAAAGCCACTATTATGTACCAATTAAGTTTTTTGAAAACGATAGAAGTTACCGTGGCCATACAAAAAAGGCCTCACATAAGTTAAAATCCGCATTACTAAAAGCTAATGGCAAGCTATATAACTGAATGGTCATCAGTGAACAGTACCTTTGAGAGGAAAACAGTGTTCACTTCCCGACTAGTTTTGAAGGCCTCAAGAATTTTTGTCCTTTCAACGTGGCTGCACATGTAGACATCAATTCTCATTTAAAAATACCAAATGGCATAAGTAAAAATAATATATAGTCCCATAAGCCAATCAACACCCACAAAACCTGGTAGCACCATAGATCATAGGTTTCCGAAGCTTCATTGCATACTCTGTCAGTGCAAAGAGATTGTCAGCAAAAACAATTATCTTATCACCACGCTGTTGTTCATGAAACCGTATAAGAAACTCGCAAGCCCGAAATTTGTTAGGGTTCATCACATAGAGTGCCTGACAAATAAAATGGAACAATCAGTGCGTGAGAAGACAAAAAATTTGGGGTTACAAAATATGGTAGGACACAACTACAAAATCAATGACTATTTATTAAAAAAAAAAACCTTTTTACAGAGAAAAAGAGCAAAGAAACACTCTATAACTAAGTGTAATACATTCATGCAAATATAAAAAATAAAAGTCAGCCACAAGCTTGTATTAACAAAGACAGTAGATCAATTTTTCCCAATAAAGGAAAAGAAATATTATAAAATAACGAACTATGTCTATTGGCAGTCCAACAACCAGTGAGATAGCCCGACTCTATTTCTTTGGTTTGGGCTCTATTAGGAGATTTTAACAATTTCTACTATTACCATGTTCATCACATGGTGTGCTGACAAGCGAGGTTTCCCAAATTCAACCCCAAAGTTTTGAAGACTGCCTTCATAACTGAAACCCCACTGTTTCATTTTGCTCAAGAGAAATAAACAAGAAGCAAACCAAGATAATCTCAAAGTTTTAAAAAACTGAGCAACTTCCGGTTAACCAGAGGTGGTTGGATTGTTTCTGCTATTGGAGCTGTGTTTCCTACTCCATGGATGTTCAATTACTCCCCTCTTTGGTTCAAATTATGAATCATCATATTTCTAAAAGAACCCAACTCATATGTAATAAACATTCCAAAAAAGAATGAGTATCCTCAAAAGGGATGAAGTTAATTCCCTCTTACTAGTCTTGGTACTGCACAATCATGGAGTTATTATACAACTAACATATCTGAAACAAAAGCATTTAAAAACATTAACAACAACAAAAGACATTTAAGACCAACAGACCTGCCTCTTCCTAGAATTTTCTTTCTTAAGATATTCGGCAAAGAACTCCTTTGTCATAGGACACCACACTTCAGCACACTGAACATTTGCAATAAATCCTCCTTTCACCAAATCTAACCAATTTGCCTCATACAACTTGGGACCAATGAGGAAGTTCAAATCTGTTATCCTTTCGTCCTCTCTCACAAGTGTTGCTGCAAGTCAACAATATTCCAGCTGTCACCAAAAATGGGAGAAGTAAATTGTTCAATATGTGTATCAATAAGTCCATACCTGTAAGTCCAAGTTTGCAATGAGATTTAGTAATGCTGATGACTTTTCGAAACATGTGAGCAGGAACCACATGCACCTGAGTAAACATCAACAAAACAAAACAAAAAAAAAACATACATCATCCTATTACGCTACAAAGTTTTATATTCATGTTAAAATGCTGCACATGAGATTACCTCATCCATGAGAAGCAATCCCCATTCTCTATTTCTTATTTCTTCAATAATCTTTTCAGATCCTTCCGAACGTTTACCACCAAAAGCAACCATGTTATAGGTGGTCACCACAACCCCAGCATTGCCACGGAATCTTTCTTTGCTATCAGAGGTGAAACGACAAATTTTATCATCTTCAATGGTTGACCACAATTTAAACTGAAAAGCCCATTGATCCACAGACACAGCATTTGTTGCTAGACAAAGACAGCTTTTCCGTATCCGGCTGGCGGCAGAAACACCCACTAAAGACTTTCCCGCACCACATGGCAATACAATAATACCAGATCTTGCTCTACCTGCAATGTCAAGGGAAAAAAAAAACTTGTACAAACCATGTTGTAGTCCTTCACAAAATTCTGAGTTATCAAGAAACAACAATAATATCTACACAAGTGTGGCCAATATGGAAGCACCAGAGAAGTTTAAAAACACATAGATGTCCACAAGTGAGCATGATCAAGCAATATGCAAAGTGAACAAAAAGTTGATCTAAGGCAGGGCCCAAACAATGAATGAAAAAAAATGTTAACCATAATAATAATTGCCAAACTGTAGCAAAAAATTGATGTTTCTGCAATCCAGATGAAAGTGGAAAAGCGGGTATAAATTTTCAGTCCTTTAATTATCAGCCACTGCATCGGTAACATAGGTAATTTTTAGGACCTCCACCAACTACAAAATTTTTACGAATATGAAGCATGGCAACTGTTCATTTGGAGGGTGCGGCTCTACCCAACCAAAGGAGCTTTAGATTCTAACTGCTTACAGTTGACTACAAAAGTCAATTGCTTTCCCTTACAAGTCCTTTCTTTTAGTAAGTGATTCCTTCCAATTTAATTCCATCTATAACAATATACAGCTGTCAAATCAGGCACAGTAATAAAGTTGTTGGCAGCTCAGTTCTCTTTTAGGCTTCCTCGCATTTCTAGAACCTAGAAAGCTATAACTATTATATAACCACATCTCCTCACAAATACAGTCATTCACTTTTGTCTTTGTTCGCAATTGAAGCCAAGTTTGTTATGCATCCAATTTTCATATTCTGTCTTCCTCTTCTACCACCGCAAATGTACAAAACCCTCATCCTAATTGGAGATTTTCATGGTTCCCAATTTGCACCCCAAAGCATAGCATTCCTTGCAATCAACTAATAACATTTTTCATTAATTTACAGTTTTCCTTTACTTCATCCTCGGAGTGATCTTTGTCTCAAAAGATCACACCCGATTCCTAGGTTGGCAATGTTTGTAGTTGTCATCAAAGAAGCCTAAGCCTAAGCTCAGGCATCAATATAGACAGAAGTTACTATTTTGGTAATGGAGATGTGTTTCGGATTCTCATTTCAAATCGCCTAATTACAAATCCTTTTTAAGTCTTGCCAGCATGTTTGCATAAAGAGTATCCTCCCGAACTGTCTTTTTTTTTTTTTAATGTACAAATGTTCAGAGAAAGACTGTTAATCAGTTGATGCTCAAGACTGTTAATCAGTTGATGCTCCACTACCCATCCTACAAAGAAGTGGCATATCTTGTTCTTGTTGTCCTAGTTGGGGATTTTGAGTAGTTTGAAGATCAGTTGGAGGGCTGAGCTGCCACAATAGGAAAAGGATTGTGCCAGCAGTTGTTTTCGGCGAGAGGATAAAAGATGCACTTTTTTGTCTTCTGTGGAATTTTTAGAGGAGCAGAAAGGCAGAAATAAAGTAGTGTTGAGCTGCAATTGCATAGGTTGAAGAAATCAAAGCTTCATTCACTCCCTAATTGTTTTAAACTCCCATGGAACTTATTTTTCAATCCAATTATTTTTGAAGAAATCGGTACTTATATCTTTTGGCAAAAGATTAATTTTTTGGCTAAAGCATACTTAGCATGTACATAAGCTGCACAACCTTTGGCCCTTTTAGTGTTAATGTTTTGTTAGAAAGAAAAAATCAAAAAAGCAGCAACTTCCAATAGAAATATGGTTGCTGGAGTTAGAGTTGCGTAAACCGTAGGCTTTAAAGATATATCCTCTAAAAACATGAATAATCATAATAACCAAAAATAGATCACTTAAAGACAAATAGACTTACCATTCCCAAACATCTTACTAAGACTCTTCTCTTGATAAGGACGTAGCTGTGCTTGAGGCTTCAACTCCATGTCAAGGTCAGGATTGACCTGGAGGATCCAATGAACATACATCAAAGCAGCAGAAAGGCAATAAATTTCCAAAACATACGAAGTAGTGACTTAACTTGTTTCTTCAGTCAAGAGGATTCATTATTCCCCCTTCCAATTTTAAAGCACCAGGGAGGTGATTGGTTTTTTTTAAGGGCGGCAGACGCCGCACCCGGGGGGGGAGAGAGAGAGAGAGCGAGCGAGCTTGCTTACGGTATCATTTCTGAAGTCATACTCCTCCAACATGGGATAGTTTAAAGCATTTGGCAAGCAACGCTGCTTCACATTTTCAACCTATCAATTCAAAGTTCACTGTAAGCATGAAGAACCAAAATGTTCAGATTGTATGCGGCCCACACGTTCTCAATATTATTTATCCGATGAAACGCATAAAATAGTGCAGCTGTCGTGACAATTAGTATGCACTGCGATGCCAGTTACAGAGGTATGCATTGTTCACATACATGCAGGAATGAAATATAAGATGGTCGTTGAAGAGTTCAATCAACATATGGGCTCATTTCACCAAATTCCATCCCAACGGCCAAACAATGAAAAAAGAGGAAGTCAACCCAAAGCTCAACAAGTTCCTTGATATGTTTTTTCTGGGAAAGGTTCGTGATATAACCCAGCTCTTTACTAAGTGAGACAAACAAAGTTATATGCCAACTTGGATATGTGGTTCAGTCTTCTCCAAAATCACTCCGCATAAAATCAAACTAAAGCATATTAACCATTAAACTCAGCACAAGGTATCAACAGTAACAAGTGACGAACAACCATTTCCTACCACTAAGAAATACAAAAACATATTTTTCAGGTTACGTGGAAACTAAGCGAGACCAGGTATGAAGATCACGAATTGTGCATAAAAAAGAAAAACTTGAAATGCTAAATGGGAATAGCTACATATTAATCGAAAGAGAATGCAGAAATAAAATAGCCATTATCAGCTGCAATATGGTACCCTCTACTTTCTGTCTTAGGTTTTTTCTTTGACTGATATACCAGAGTGCCCTTCAGCAATTGAAAACTACCACCATTTAGTAGAACAAAAATATTTACAATCCATGTGCAGGCAATTACAGAATGAAATTATTTGGAACAGCCTACCATTTTTCAAAACTGCCAATGCTGGGTTTATTTCCCGAACCACACTACTCAACTGTCTTAAGCTTACACTAATTGTATTTCGAGTAAAATGCAACTTCTAAAATCTCGAGATACACAACTTTGATTTCTTCTCCTTGCATATTATAAAAGGAGGTACTTATTGCTGACCAAATAATTGGGGTAAAGTGGACTATGCCATCTATTCTTGATCAACTTAACAGAAAATCTGCATTGAGTTACCTGAGCAGGCTCAATTTCAAATGAATGAGTCTCTTTTTCTTCGGCTGCAGTTGCCAATTCTGCTTCCTTTAGCAACTGGTCGTGGCCACCTTCTATTTGACTCGTTGACTTGGAAATCATGAATCCATCATTTCCAGGCACACCCTAACCAGCAAACATGTCCAGATAAACCAAATCCAACTCAGAGGAAGAATATGAATAAACAATTAAACATTTAAAATGCTAAAAACAAAAATAAATGAAGCATCCCCCCCCCCCACCAAAAAAAAAAAAGAACAAGGAAAAAACAAAGAGGAAGGGTTACGATGCTTGGTGAGATGTCAACAGCAAACAGCCAATGAGTACATTTTTAGATTGACTATCAGATTCAATTTGCCATGTAACCAAACTTCAGATCCATTTACCATTGAGACACAATGCACTCATGTTTCCGCAAAGTTCAAACCATACAAATGGATGAGCACACTGCACAGAAACAAGACTGGATGGCATGGCAGTCTACACCACGCTGAAAATCATGCCAAGAGAACAAAAACATGCTTATGCATAATCCTCACTGGTTGCATTCCCACAATGTCTCACTACAGAGCAAAATATGCCAACACTTCAAGTAATTTCCCAATACCAGATTAATCCTGTGGTTTCCAACCATTTCCAAGAAAATAAAAAAAACAGTTAGCACAAACCCAGTAAAGAACAATACAAACACCACAATAAACATAACATTCCGATAAAAACCACAGATATTAACAATAATAAAGGACCTCAGTGGAAATCCTTGCTCTGGATATAACCTCATCCTTGAGCAACTCTTCAACACCTGCACATAACCATAAGTTAGGGGGTTTACCAGCCCAGTCTCCCAATTCATCCCAATTAAAAGAAGAAAAAAAGATCAGAGAAGGCCAAACTATCTTGCCTCTGGAAATGGGGATTCGATAAAGTACCGATTCTTCTTAAGTACAAGCTTCACTTTGCCATAATTGGCAGTAGAAGCCTGTATGAAGTCAATCGTCTCTTTGGGAAGCTTGGTCTTTGACAATTTATTCAAAACAGCTATGATGGTCTCAGTTTCAAGACCAACTGACACCGCGGCATATAAGGAGTGAGGTGTCAGGTTGTATTCGTGCATCGACTCTGGCCTATACATCAAAATTCACATATAAAAACCCAACAACTGAAACGAATAAAGATTTACGAACATAAATATGCTCGTGTGTGTATTTGGCCCGTAACCTATGGTACCTGCAAACAGGCTCGGCAATGGCAATGAGAAAATCATAAGCTTGTTTGTAGAGAGGAGAGAATGTTTCCAAGAATATTCGGCCATCAGCGCAAGCCCAAAGTGGCCGATTGGCGTGATCGGGTTTAAGTTCCAATTTGGTAAAATCTCTCTTTTTTCCTTCTTTATCACCTCAAATTGATTTCACCCAAATCAATTGAAACAAATCAAACAAAAACTATATTTACAGGCAAATATGCATTATAATACATTTATATACCATCGCGACAATCGTTTTCCAATTCTTCAGTATAATATGCATCCTCATCTTCAAAAACTGGAGTTCTTAGGTCCTCCTATATAGAACAACGATGAAAATTATCGTTCTAGTTACATATTATCAGAACAAAACTAGGGCGGTTAGGAGGAGTTGAAGAACCTTGGATGAAAACTTGGGCTTCTTGCTAGGTCGGCCTCTATCACCTGAAAATCAAAGACTACGGTTCATATAAATTGCAAATTGACCGCATAGTTACATGAATATGAATCAATACATACGTAATATTGGTGTAATGTTATGCTTGATTGTATGAACTATGTTTTATACCGAGGCCCATTACTCCGGTATCGGAATTTGACGACGATCGGAATGGAACGATCAATCGTGTCTTCTCAGGGTTTTATGTGCTAGAGTTTACGGGCCAGAGAGAGTAGGGGTTCGACGAAGTCGGATTGGAAGAAGAAATGACACTGAACCACCTAAAGTAATAGGCGGTGATCGCATGGCTACACCTACACGCAGCTGAACGCATGTGCGATTACGGGACAATCTCAATTCACCGACTCACTGGTCCGACTTAGTTGTACTTTTTAAGTTTAATGTCACTTTATCCCCTCAAGGATCTGAAAATTATCACTTTGCTCGTTGAAGATTAATAATTTATCATTGTATGCTTAATTTTATTTCATTTTTTTTTATTGCTGTCGTAGATATTTGGGTTAGCCTACGTGCACTTCGATTAATCTTTTGTCTGAACCAATCAAAAGCATGTCATTTACGCAAGAGACTAAAAAATTTAAGAAAAATAAATCTATCACGACTTGGTCCTAGAAAAATTATTAAGTTTCCAATTCAGTAAGAATCTATAATTCCACTGGATTTTATTTTATACCCATAATTATTTTATAATCACATAAAATATTATTTATTCTAGCTCCCTTGTGGGATGTTAACTAACTACAAATTCAATAATATCGATTAGTTGGAGGAATACATTGATAGTATTTAAAAAAAATTTAACGACACAATTTGAGGTTTTTAAATTTTAAGAAATTATTACAAAAATGATTATTAACTCCATAAAAGACAAATAGGGCTCGTTTTAAAAAAAAACAAAATTCATGTGGAAAAAAAAGGTAAAAAGTAGCATCTGTCATCTAAAGGAGCATTGATAAAATATACTATCAATTCCCCAAAATTATAAAAAAATAAAACTGAAAAATATGTTGGTAGGCAATTTTCCTTAATTTTTTTTTAAA